TTAAACCAACTTTCCTCTAAGTTATAATATATATATATATATATATATATTTCATATACTATAATATTATCAACATTTTCAGGCATATGCCCGCGTTGTTATATCAGTTATGGATCATAGTGGTGTTGTGTATCATGTTCATGGGCATGACATTGAAAGCTCCAATTGAATAACAAAGAAGTGAGATAAAACCCTATGAAAACGACCCAACAGTTGGTGGCCCAGTGGCTAAGAGGTGACAAAGTCATCCTCAAAGTCCTGGGTTCGATTCCACTGGTGAGGAGAGATGTAATTTCTGGACTAAAATGGTTCATATACAAAGGCTGGTCCCGGGCCTAGGATGGATGTAGTCGGGTCGAAGCTCCGAGGAACCATCCTGGTTATCAAAAAAAAAAAAAACTATGAAAGCGGTCCCAAGTTGGAAGAAGACGAGAGAGAGAGAAAGCCGTCGAAACGGCGTCGTACGAAAGGGAATTACTGATTGGAGGATAAAAAGAAGTCAAGAAAAAAAATAGAATCATAACAGCTTAATTGGATAGTGATATATATATATATATATATATATATATATATATGTATGTATGTATATATGTATATATGTTGTGCTGAGATCATCATTGATGATTTCAAAGGAATTCTATTGCACATGGGAGAGAGAGAGATTGTACCACCAAATTCAATAAAGGAGCTATTCACTGAATCTTGTGCTCCTGTTGATTGCTGCCCATCAATCTAGAATATTAGAACGATCAACACATAATCCATAAATATGCATAGCATGAATATATATATATATATATATATATATAGTGGTGTAGGAGCTAGCGGGTGTATTATGTATTTCTCTTATCAAATTAGGGTTAACACCCACCTTGGTCCTTTGAAATACAAGTTGTTATATATATATATAAGAAATTTTTTCCACATTTTACTCTTTTCAAACTCTATTTTTATTCGTTTTCTCGGTCTTCAAACAATCTCTTAAATCGAATGTAATACAGGTTAGTAATAACTATATTATTTTTTAATTGGTAGAAGGTATTTTATACTACGTAAGTTCATATACATATCCGTTGAATATTGTTTGGAATAAAATTATTTCGGGTGCTTAATTAGGGTTTGAATACGATCTAAGATCATGTGGGTATATGTGTGTGTGTATATATATATGAGATGAAATTAATGGACAGACCTTAATTATGGTACGATATAAGTGCATGCAATGTGTGCCTGTCTCCCGAATCGTTCAAAGATATGTTCGACAATAATCATTTGAAAACGATGCATAACGATCTTCACTCTGATCTCAAACCATTTCCATACCAATAAAATCCATCCTCCGTCACCAATTTGACTTTTTTTTAATATATATATATATATATATATATATATATATATATATCTTTTATATAGGTCACTTCACATTTAAAACTGCCCTAATATGAACATATATGATTATAAAACAATCTTATATAATATGTATGTATGTATGTATGTATGTATGTATGTATGTATGTATGTATGTATGTATGTATGTATGTATGTATGTATGTATGTATGTATGGCGGGCTCTAAGTCATCTTAATCCATGACCAGATTTGATTTCTTTATATTCACAACCAATAAATCAAATACCCTTTAAAATTTAAATTTAGTTTTCTCATACAAAATTGTTTTTTGGAAAAAATAAAAATTAATAAATTCTATGGGAAATTAGTGAATAATAAAAAAATGCAATTTTAAAAAATCAATTAAACAGGTTTTTCAGTATAGACAAGACAAAAAGAAATATCCAGCGAAAACAATTACAGTGTTTTTGGACAAAATTATATAAAAGATACCCTTTTTATAAAATTGTCTAAATAAAAAAAATCAATTTTATGAAAGCAACAATTAATGATATACTTAAGAAAAAATGCGAATAAATAAATAAAAAGCAAAAAGGGGGAGAGAATAAAAGAGCAAGGGGCCATAGCCATCCCTCAACGCACGTTTCTTATCCATAAATGTATATTCCCTTTTTTACTCTCTCTGCACTCTCTTTTTGTTCCTTTCCTTTTAAGTTACAAAGCCCCGAATCTGAATAATTTTTAGTAGGGGTGGACGAACGGTTCAGTGCAGATTAATCGGTCATAGTTAATTAGAGTTTAGATATTCGGAATTTAAAAATTTATAATAAAACGGTTATTTAATTTTATTCGATTCGGTTAGTTTTGATTCGGTTCGGTTTTATATAGTTAAAATTTTAAAATTATAACCAAATAAAGGTAAGATTCAGTTATAATATTAAAAAAAGTTTTGAAACTTTTAAATATAAAATATTCAAAGAAGATATAATATAAAATACCATCATAATAATCTTAACATAAAAATAAAAAGTAACAAAATCTAAATTTATTTTATAATTTATTTTGACCAAAAAAAAATAAAATAAATGATTTTAAATAAACTGTATCGATGTTCATATAGTACAAACTTTGAAAATAATAAAATTATAATAAAATAAATTAAAAATAATAAAATAATGATTAAATTAGATTAAATACATATATCACTTTGTTATATATCATAGTTATAAAACAATATTATCATATTAATTTTTCTAATTAGATTTAACATATATTTTATAGTAATTGGTAATATATAGGTGATAAATAGTTATATTCGGTTAATTCGGATTCAGTTTATTCGGTTTACAGTTATTTCGGATTCAGTTAATTCGGATTTTAAAAAATCATAACCAAACGGTTATTTAATTTTAATCGGTTCGAATATATATTGGTCGGTTTGGTTAATAACCAAAATAACCAAACCGAATGTCCACCCCTAATTTTTTGCAGCTGAAATTTTATCATTATTAAAAAAATATAAAAAGAACTCGAAATATTTAATTTTTCTTTAGAATGAAAATGCCGTTATTTGAGATACAAAATAAAATAAAATATTGAAACCCTTTGTTTAGATATTTTAAGATAAACTACTCTATTAGAACGAAGAATAAGAGAATATCTCACTTTTGATCATCATTAATATATTTACTCTTAATGGTGATCATTTTGTTTACTAACCAAATAATCGAATCAAACCAAATCGAATAAAATATAACTATAATTGAATGGAATCCAACATAAAAAAACGAACGGTTATAACTTCTATCTAAACCTGAAAAAATTGAATTTAAATTGAACCGAATAAAAAAACTAAAAAAATCGAAAACTTTAATATAAAAATTGAATGGTTATAGTTTTTCGATAACCAAAACAATCCACTCCGAATATAACCGAATATTTCTCTTCTAACCCCCTAAATGTTTTTTTAAAAATAAAATTTGTTGATGTAATAGATTCAAAAAAAAAATGAAAATATGCTTAATTAAGATAGGGAACAAATGCTACAAGGATGGTTGGTAGTGGTTTACCCTGCGACTGTTTGATTGAAACAAGTGAGAAGCCTCCAAGAACACGTGCTCTACCCCTATATTTCCCCCTTTTTCTTTATATATACTCCTATCTATATAGTTCTATGAAAAAAATATCTCAACAATCTTTCATATTGAATAACAAAAAAAATTATGTGGTGAGAAAATAATACTATTTGATTTAAAAAAAATTGTAAATTAATGTTAGAAAGGGAAGACATTAATGGCCCAATTGGTTTAGTGCACATTGTCCTTGTGTGAATATGATTGGTGTTTGGATTCTCCATCACCCATTGGAGAATTAGTTAACCTAGCTACATTTTAGATATTTCTGGAATTTTTTTTATTTGTTTAAACATGTAAAAAAATAACCTAAAACTTTTTGAATTGAAATATTACCTAATAGAAGATTAAAATTATATTGTTTTTTATAATTCAGAAATTAAACTAGCATGTAATTTAACTATATCTTTCAGAAAATCGAAAAATCTCATATGAATATATTTCTTCTTTCAAATGGAGACTCGAATCTAGTTTAAGAAAGAGTTTTGATATCTTTTTTTACTCGTTAAGTGAGTCATAAGATTAAAATATACTTACAATGAAAACAAAATATATACAATTATTGTTTTAAATTTTGAATATTTTTTGCGTATAGTTGCATAGGGGGGTTTGATTGGACTGCAGGAAAAGTAGTGTAGGAGACAAAAGGCTCTAAGATCATTGGAGGAAAATAATAATAATAAAATTATGATTGGACCAAAAACTTGGATGCTTTTTCTTCTTCTTTATCTTCTTTTATTTTGACATTATTTACTTAGGAAGTATTTGCTACAATCTTATTTCGAAATCGAAAACAAATAAAAGTGTGATTAGATGGTTATTTATTGAATCGCATTTAATATTACTCCCTCCATTTCAAAATAATTGTTGTTTTAGATTATTTCACATTTTTTTAAGAAAAGATAAAAAAAAGTTACGAGTATAACCTTATTTAATAATAAAAACAATGTTATCATTAATAATTTATTAGAATTTAATAGAGATAAAATTAGAAACTATGGTAAAAAATATCTTGAAAATATAGAATGATAAATATTTTGAAACACAGAAAATAATCTAAAATTACAAATATTTTGAGATAGAGAGAGTATAATCGAAACAATTCTTATAAAATATTAAATTGAAGAAAACTATGCAACAGTAAAAAGGACGTGTAAGCATATTATTCATCATTTATATGATTTAAATTTTTTTGTTAATTTGTTTCCTATAGAACATGTGGTTTCAGTCTAAAAGTATTTATTTAGTATTAAAAATATCACACAAAACAATAAATTCTAATTATTTTCTTAACTATCTTACATATGGAGATGTTCGACCGATTACTGTTAATGATAACTATATTTAATTTGTTGTTACGAAACATTAAAATAAATTCGACGGATCTAAAAAATAGAGAACTCGAAAAAAAAAGAGTTAAAAATATCCCTTTTTTGTATGAAATATTCTAATTATAGTAACCGATTTTGAACAAAAGAAAAAAAAAAGTTATGACCCTTCCGTTTGGTCGGAAGTTTTCGTAATTTTCATCTGCAAATTGGGATTCTAACATTTTCCGATTCCAAATTATAAATTTCATAAGGGTGTATCTCTCTCAATCAGCCATTTGATCTCGACCTTCGTCATCCGGTATTGCATCATAGTTTGGTTGTGTTATATATTTATGTTTTTATATATAATATATTCATCGTGTTTCGAATTTCTTATAAAACGTGATGATTTAGGTCTTGATTATGAACAAATTGATCGATAATTGATAAATGTTTTTGTTTTTTAAAATATTACCCTAATCAGATTTTCTCATGCAATTTGATTTCTTTGATCTCACCCTTGCAGCATATGGGTATGCAAATCACCCTTAATTTTGATATCATTGTCATATTATCGATTTCATTGTTGGAAATGGTGATTTTTTAAATTTGTTTAATTCTTGGTTTTCATCCAAAAAAAAATCCCATTCAAAGATTACAAAAATCTAATTCGATCTTTGATCAATTTTGTGGTTGTGTTTATCGTCACATAAATCTATAACCGCTGTGGATTGTATCTTAATACGATCATTGTAATCACATATATATATATATATAATTTGTAATCATATATATATATATATATGTGTGTGTGTGATGGTAACAGATGGCGAAGATAATGCTGGGGGCGCATACGGTGAAGAGCCATGGAGCGAAGGTGGCCCGAGAACATCTACACGACTGGCTCATCCTGATGGCGCTCGGCCTCATCGACTTGGCCCTCAACCTCGTCGAACCCTTCCACCGTTACATCGGCCCCGACATGTTGACCGATCTCACTTTCCCTTTCCACCCCGACACCATCCCCATGTGGGCTGTTCCGGTATAATTATATATATGGCATGACATTTATTACATTTATTTATTTATTTGTTTAATTTTACATGTATTAATCATTCTTTTAATTTTGGTTTGTAGATTTTGTGCGTGCTCGTGCCCGTAACTGTTTTCACCATCTATTATTACTTCCGGAGGGATGTTTATGACCTCCATCATGCCATCCTCGGTAAACCATATATTACATAGATGCATGCATGCATGCGTACATACGTTTCTTGTATATTGAACGTGTGTGTGTATATATATATATATAGGTCTTGGATTTTCTTGTCTTGCGACCGCTGTCACGACCGATTCGATCAAGGATGCGGTCGGTAGGCCCCGGCCTAACTTCTTTTACCGATGTTTTCCCGACGGAAAATCGGTATGTAAAATCGTAACGAAACATTAAACCGAAAAAATTAAGCTCGATTTTAATTAGGGTTTTAGTTGTGGATATTATTAACATTGTTGAATCCGAAAGAAATGCAGAAATTCGACCCCATCACTAGGGATGTTGTGTGTCACGGAATTCACCGGATTATTAAAGAAGGCTACAAGAGTTTTCCGAGCGGTCACACTTCATGTACGTATATTAAATTAAAATCGGTTAGTTTCAGTATATGTTTATTTCAGTCTAATCGAAACGCATACAATAACCGAAATCCAACCAGAAAGTTATCAGTTCAGATCGATTTTTCGTACATGATCTTAATTTATATGTTACGGACATTTGGTCCAACTAAACCGAAAGGCTATTGGTAAATTCATATTCCATTTAATCTCGGTTTGATTGGGTAAATTCATATATGCAACTTCAATTCGGTTCACTTTCCATACCTACTATTGGGTAAATTCGGGTAGAGAAAGATCGGTATAATTCGTTGATGGAACGTTTTCGGTTTAACCCGGTTTGGTTCCGGTATACGCAGGGTCATTCGCCGGTTTAACGTTCCTGGCGTGGTACTTGTCGGGGAAAGTCAAAGCGTTTGACCGGAGAGGACACGTGGCGAAGCTGTGCCTGGTGTTTTTGCCGATCTTGATAGCGACGCTTGTCGGGATAACACGTGTCGACGATTACTGGCACCATTGGACCGACGTCTTCGCCGGAGCTTTCATCGGCTCCGTCATCGCCGCCTTCTGTTACCTCCAGTTTTTCCCATACCCTTACGACGATAACGGTGCGTATTTACATCTTTGCCAATTGTTGTTGTGCACATATATTATCATTTATATATTTTTATTTTCTCCTATTGCGTCTCAATTTTTGCTAAGAGAGGATAAAATAGGTATATAAAAAATGTAAAATGTAACCAATGGAAATGCATTTGCTTGCAGTTAGCTAGAAGATCAAAATTTTTAGTTATGGACATGGGCAGACTTTGAAAAATTTATCATTGGGGGCAATATAACATTTACTATAATTTAAGAGACAATTTTAAATTTATTGTAGGGGTATTTATCAAATTATGTAAATAAAATTTTAAAATAAAAATAATGGGAGCATAGGACCCATTACTAATAACTTACGCCCGCCTTCATGAAATATGAATTGGTTTTATAAATTGGTTCGCTTGATAAGTTTTCTTTCCTAGGGTTAAATGTAAATGTCTTTTTTTTTCCGGGTATATATAATAGGATGGGCGCCGCATGCATATTTTCGAATGCTGGCGGAGAAGAGCGGCAGAGCCACCACGATGCCGCGGAGTATTTCTCGAGCGGAGCTGGACGACGACGTCGAGGCAGTGGATCCCACTTCGCCTCACGACCACCATCGTCGCCGGGATAGTACCGACTCCGAATTTTGAAAACTTTTTTCTGAACCAAAGTTTGTATCAAAAATTGTAAATCTGTATCATAAATATACATATAAACCCAAATTAAGTAACTTAATGGTAAGATAACATGCAAAACATGTTTTTATCTTGAGTTCAAATCTAAATATAGGAAAGAACATTTACCCATACTTTTCAAGTCTTTTGAAAAATATAGTTGGATTTAAAAACATTTGTATTATTAATATATATATATATATAAAAGAATTTAAAAAGGCAACTTTGTGTTTATATTTCTAAAGCTTAGACAGATATAATGATATGGTTCAGAGTTTGAGATTTTGGGTTTGTGTATAGTATTAGCTGTGTATTTTCCCTTCCGGTTTAATTAGATTGAATTTTGCAAACCAGATGTTTACCGGTTTGGTTTTCTCCGGTTAAGTGTGAGATCATCATTAACATAAAATAACCCCAAGTTGCTCCCTCGTGTTCCGCTTTTCACTTGCAGTACCCGCCTCGTATCCGAAGCAAGCAAAGTGACTTCAAAGCCCAATTTCATATTCTTATTTTTACTCTACTATTTACAATTTTTTTTTAATTTACAATTGTTATATATACACACACACACACATATATATATATACATACACTAATACACGTATAGACACGTACGTAATCGAAAGATGTTTGTTTCTTCAAACTTGTACTATACTTTTTTTCCCACTTCTAAGTAAAAATATTTAATTAATCAAAACTTTAAGTCCTGCCAAATATAAAATCAAGTAAAAAGTCTACATAGATAAAATCAGCATTCGGCCGTCATAATTTCCACTACCGACTTTTAACAAACAATAAAATTCCACTACCCACGTTTTTCATATATCGATTTAATGATTTCTTAAATTTATATATTTTAATGCATAAAAAACGTAGATATTTGACACAGTGTCCAGATTTTTGTACCTATGTTTTATTATTCCAAAATTCACGTGAAAATTAGAGAGATTTTGGGGAAAATGAAAGTGAAACGTCCGGTACAAGTAAACCGGACACGGTTAACGAAAATTATCCACATGGGCTTGGGTTTAAGTTTCCAAGACGGTCCAGATGCATTCCGCCTTCTCAGGGTCCAGTTCACCTGAACAGCCATAATATTATTAAATATTATTCCCTTTCTTTATTGGCCCAATATATTTCATGGTTATATATATATATATATATATATATAAAATTCTACAATGAATATTATTTATTTTAAATGATTACAAAATCTAGATCTTCAAAAGCTATGCAGAAAACTATAGTGATGTGTAGATTCGGTATAACAGGGGAGCTGGTACTTTTTGTTGTCATTATCTCCGTTAATAAATTATAAAATTGGTACGAACCATACAGATGCATATCTGGCAATGAATCATGTGTTAGTGTTGCCAGTTCTGCGTAGAATCTAATGTTTCAATTTAATACTATAATCATAAATAAGATCTCAATTAAAATAAATTATTAAAAACAACCATCAGATCTAAAAATTCATCAAATCTATAGATTTGTTCGAAAATTAAATGATAAATAATTATATTTCCTATTGATTTAATAATCGTTTTTCTATTATAGTTGGAATCAAATTAATTAAACACAAATCAAATATATAAAATAATTACAAAAGCAAATTAAAACAAAATATAATGTAAGAAATTAATTTATTTTATACAAATGGAATAGAATTAAATAAAAAATAATAAAAAAAAATATTTATTTATTTTATAAATAGTTAGAAACAAAATATAATGGAAACTGGATCACAAACAAAAAAACCTAACAAAATCTACAAATCAAGAAACTTATACGACTAATATGGATGTTTAATACGGATATTTGAACTGATGTCCAAATGATTCTTAGATAAGTATTAAATATTTTATTAATGGATAATTATATTTTATCCAAATCATATAAAACTGAATCAATTTTAAAAACATATTATAACATTTCTAATTTGTTTAAGTTATAGTAATCCTATTTAATCACTTGGGGGAAAAATAGAAATGAAAATTGTAGTCCGATGTTGAGATTAATTAATAAATTAATATTTTATAATTTTATATTGGCCCATAATGTTTTATTCATTGAAATTCAGTCCCAATAAGCTGATTTATTATATATAAAATCTTTAACCAATGCATCCGTCGTTATCGAACATATGGAGACCCCAGTTTCCTCTGTACCCCAACCCAACCCTCTTCCTACTTCCTCCGCCTCCGCCGCCGCCGCCGCCGTCACAGCGGCGATTCCGGTGACGGTGAAGTCGGCGGGAACCAGTGTACAACAGGTCGAGAGCTCGCCACGAGCTCCGGCGAAGGTGATTGATGCCGGTGGAAATGTGGAGGCTTTGGCGGCGATTCCCTGCGCCAAGCTCCGGCTCATGTGCAGCTATGGAGGACACATCATGCCTCGGCCACACGACAAGGCCTTGACGTACGTCGGCGGCGAGACACGCCTCGTGGTGATCGATCGTCACTCGTCTCTGTCATCGTTCCGGTCACGCCTCTCTCGTATGCTCCTCAATGGTCGAGCCTTCACGCTCAAGTACCAGCTCCCCAACGAAGACCTAGATTCGCTCGTCTCCATCACCACCGATGAAGATCTCGAGAACATGATCGAAGAGTACGACCGCGTGACGTCGTCCGCCGCCGTGGCGTCGGGAGCGCCGGCGTCGCAACGGATCCGGTTGTTCCTCTTCGCGAATAAGCTCGAGACCGCTGCAACGATGGGATCTCTGCTCGACGGAGCGAAATCGGAGACCTGGTTCGTTGATGCTCTGAATCAGTCCGGTCTTCTTCCTCGGGGGTTGTCGGATTCCGCTGCCGTCGGTAACTCCTTGTTGAATCTCGACGACGCGAGCACCGGAGAGGCGGCCGAGATGCAAAATCTAGAGACAAATGTTGGTGGAGAGAACAAAAAACCGGTGGATACGGTTGCTAGTGGAGCGATTCCGCATAACGAGATCCATTTGAGCTCGATGCCTGATTCTCCAATGCTCGAAACCGCAAGTTCTTCGTACGGATCTTCCTCTTCCACGCCGTCGATGGCGAACTTGCCTCCGATTCGTGTTAGGGTTAGCGAAGAACAAAGGATCGAGGAACAATTTGCGCATATGAATTTCTCGAACGTGCACGTTCAGAGGCACTTGGAAGATGGCGCTGGCTTGATGGTGGCTCGGCCTCCGATGATTCCGCCGGCGGCAATGACCGATGCGGCGGCTGCGGCGGCGATTTACGGCGCAGCTCCTGACGGTGCCTGTGGCGGTATGTCTGGTGTTTGTCAGGCTCCGTTGGAAGACGACAGATCGGATCCGAGTCTGTCGGCGGGTTACAGGAAACCGCCTTCATCAAGTTTCAGTGCCTCCGAGAACTGGCGCAGGATATGGCTTGGCTTCCCCTGATTCTGTGGCAAGGTATTTAGTCTTCTTACTATAATCACTTTGCCTTCATTTCCATTGTCTGTTTCACCTTAGGCATACTCAGACACCATGCTTGAAGAACCGATTGTATTCTAATGACACATAAATGTGTTGCTTTAAGGAGTCTCTCCAGGTAGAAAGATCATTGGTCTGTGTCATGCTGATTGAAGTATATGGTATATTATTCGTTTGTGAGAGAAATCATAGCATTGTTTTCCTGATTTCGGGCTGTTTTCCTTGGGCAACTCTCCTATTTTCTCTCTATTTGTTACTAGAAAATGTTTGAATCCCATGGCTTTCTTCTGTTCTTCCTGGATCCGGGTTTATCTTATGCACCGATACCGGATACTGATCACCAAGATAGGTTTGTATATGTGGTGATTATGTTGAAAGATCTCTGGTTCGAGTTAGAACAGATCTAGAATGTTACTCGTAGCTGGATATATTTGCTTATGCTGTCATTTCATTTGGGTTCTACAAAATGATGCATTTCAACAGTTTTATCCAGTGTGTCTTGAATTTGGATTTGCCTTTCAAGTTAGATATTTGACTCTGTTCTTTCTGTGGTGTATGATCAATTATTCGGGTTTTACTCTGCATTGCAATAGCAATCGTCATTAGAGTTTGGACAGTCTTTCACACTGATACCAAATTCTGATATTTGACATCATTCCTGACTTTCTTCGTATTATATATGCAGTGATAGTAGCATTTCTTCTACTACATTTCCTAAGCCAATGTACTACCAAGACCAAGCTCAAACTCAAGCTCAAGCTCAAGCTCAAGCCCCACCGAAAGGCACCCCGATACAGCCCGAGACCACGTCGGTTCAGCCGGTTGCATATGCAGCCATGGACCAACACCAGACACCGCCGCCTCAGGTTCAGCAACCGTACGTTCAGTACATCCCTCACCCCTCTCAGTACATCCCGGTCTACCCTCATCAGCATCAGAACTATCCGGTTTACGTAATGTCCGTCCCTCAATCTCAGCCCTATGTTTCCACAGCTACTCCCCCTCTTTATCCGAACTCCAAACCCGGCTCAAACCCTAAATCCGAAAACCCTCAAAACGTTTACCGGACCGCTCTACCTCCAAACCAACCTCAGCAGGCCCTTCAGCTTCAGCAGCCGGCTCCTGCTCAACCGCAGTACGTTGGTTATTCTATGGTGCCACATCATCATACCGCAAACGCTAATTACAGCGGTTATGAGTACTCGAATGCTACACACGAGCCGGCATACTACCAGGTGCAACCGCCGATTTCTGCGTCTGCGACTGCGATTCCCTTGGCCTCTCAATACCAGAGTATGACCCCAGCTGCGGCTGGGGGTGGCTCTTGAAAGCAACAAGCATCACATTGCCGCGTCTGCGTCTCAACCGCTATGAACCGCTGCTTCTGCGTTTCAAATCATGGGCGTCAGAAGATTCAGAAACAAAAGGGGAGCTATAAGTATAAGACTACAACGCTTTGAATTTGCTTAATTACGGTATTATTTCAAAGGGGTAGATAATAATAGGTTATGCTTTTGGCTTTCTCGGCTTCTTAATCTCATGCTAATGTCTCTCCTTATTCTGAAATTTAAAACATGTTGGACGATTTTCCTTTTAAGTATAATATTTGGTTTAATAAATAAAATGATGTATGGTTTATGTATAAAATATCTGTTTAATAACTTTGTCCAGAAATTATGTGATACGAAAATGCTCCTAATATAATTCTCGTTTCATATTTCTTCCCAATCGTATGCGTATATTATGATATTAGACAACCTCGTAGACATATTTGAAATGCCCTAAATGAAATCGAATTTAAAAATAAGAAAATATATATTGTGATATTATAATGATGGTTGGTAGTGGTGTAGACGGCACGGATAAGGAGTAGTTTCTCGAATATCATTAAATCAGAGTGATACGGAAATAGATCGAATGCATTGGAATAAAAGAGATACGAGAGTTGTATATGTATGGTACTCTACAATTTAATATAAGTTAAAAGAATTAATTGAACTTGTTAATAATTAACAAGATGTATCTAAACAAGTATAAATATAGGACTATACGGTGTAAGATAAATTAAAAAGAATTAGTTAAGTTAATTATAATAATAAGATACGCCTAATTTTTTGATTGATTATTAGGAGAAAAATCTAAAATTAAATAGGGGTGAGCGTTTCGGGATTCAGTTCGGAATTTTAGCGGTTCGGTTCGAGAACGGTTTATTCGGTATTATAAAATTTGTACCAAATTAGTACCGTATATTATTCGGTTCGGTTCGGTTCGGTATTATGACGGTTCGGGACGGTACGGTACTAATAAATAAGTACCAAATAAGAACCGAAATAAAAACGGTTCGGGACGGTTCATGACATATTTATAATTCATATAATATAAAAGTAAAGAGATTCAACATAATAATTTTATACAACAAAACAAAAGTTTCGAACTTGTAAATTTGGAAAAAATTCAACATTAATCTCAATGCATTATGCAAACAAACTCTTTAACATTAGTAAATATCATAATTAACTATTAATATTAAATATTTTTTAATTAAAAAATAAAAATACCGAAATACCGTTCGGTATTTTCCGAACCGAACCGTTCCCGAACCGTTCGGTATTTCAAATTTCGTACCGTTCGGTATTTTTATATAATACCGAACCGAACCGAAACCGAATTAATCGGTTCGAGACCAGATTCCCGAACCGAACTGTCCACCCCTAAAATTAAACGTGTTAATTCTATAACAATTTAAATATGGGTGATCTAATTGGAAATGTCTCGATATACGAGTGAGTAAAGTCAAAATATGTTAAAAGATCTCGTATTGGAGTTTCAATGTTGCGTAGCGAGTACGAGTCATATATGTTTATTATATATTTTCTTGAAAAATTTAATATTTTATATAAACTATTAAATTTAGCATTTGTTAGGCAAGTATTTCAATATATGCGGATTCTATTTAAAAAAACTTTTAGATTCTACACTTTTTTTTTATTTGTAGAATTTTGTGATTTTTAAAATTGCGGACCTCATTTGAAACTTTTAAAAATATAATAAATCTCTAAAGGATCTAAAATCTGAATTTGTTACATAAATAACAAATCTTGAAAATCATATACCATGCATGAATCAAGATATAAATGGATCAAAAAAAAAAAAAAAAAAAACTAAGATGCATCGCCTCTATCTGGATCGGAGGCTCTAAGGTAGTGTCAAGACCGTAATTTTTTGCCCGTCTTCGTTTATAGAGCCCAATGGGTGTTGATCGAATCCCTCCACCTAAAACCCTAAATCTCTGAATCCGCCATGAGAGGAGCTCTCTTCAGAAACCTCTCTCTCTGTGCTCGCAGAGCTCTTCTCTCCCCTCGTGTTCCCTGTCCGAGCCCCGCTACTGTCCCATTTCCTGCGGCCGTTGTCGCCGCAGCTCCTCCGAGACTCAGATTCTTCTCGTCGGAATCTGACTCTTCTGGCGATAATGCGAATCCGGCTTCCGAGTCTTCGGTGGTTCCGGAATCCGACAAGAAAGATATCGTCGTTGAGGATGTGAGCAACAAAGGTGAAACATTTTTCTTCTGGTTTTGCTCTGTGTGTTGTTTGAAATGAATGGAAACGATGAGAGATTTGCCGAAGGACACTTTCCGGTTATTCTTATTAGTAATCCTAGAAACCTTAGTGTCGCAATCAGTTTCCCATATTTCTCCTACGTGGGCCTGTGACATTTCCACATTTCGTGTTTTCTATTAATATGATCTCGTTGATCTTGAATGAACCCGTCGATGTATTTTCTTTTTTCAGATTTTGATGTATATGTCCAAGCCCCCTGTGTGGCTTAAAACGTTTGTTCATTGTCTCAGAGCTGAAAACTCGACTGGAGCAGTATTTCAACCAGGGCAACGAAGAGGCATTGCCTGGAGTTTTGGAAGCACTTATGAGAAGAAGGCTTGCGGACAAACACGAAGAGACAGACGATGAATTGATGGATGAGCTCCAGACACAGCCCTTCCAAAAGGTGGACGACGAAGATTTTGAGAATGATTTCGAGGAGGCACATTCTACTGATGAGGAACTTGAGGATCTGTACAATGCTCCGGAATATGTTATGCAAAAGATGGGAAAGGATGAATTTTTCAACATGGACGATAAGAAGTGGGATGACATGATCAGGGAGGCAACCGAACATGGATATCTGAAGGACACTAAGGAGTGCGAGGAGATTCTCGAGGATATGCTCAGCTGGGATAAGCTTCTTCCCGGTATGCCATTTACGTAAAAGAAATGTCTTCCTAATCCATCGTTTCAAATCTTTAAGCATAGTTGTGTTGCAACCTATTAGGATGTTTCTACTGGATGTGTTCTATCTTTCTTTCCCGCTTGATCTTTTTAGAAGTTTAGGGTGTCTTGTGATACATTGTCATTGCTGCAGCTAAACATATTCCTTACAGATGGAGAGAAGCAAATATGCTATTGTCGAAGTTTAGATATTGTTCAAGGGATGGTTACTTTGAGAACTTTCGAATTTGAAACTTGTTAGGATTGCTTGAATACGTCTCCTTGTACTTTCTATTTTCCTCCTGATTCTTCGATTGGTAGTAACTTGTAAGGTTTTAGGCCGACTGATAGTAAATGGTGGATCAAATGTACTTTTCCTAATTGGACTGGAGTAACACTTGTCTATTTAGATTTTGTAGGTTCCATGAATTTTGTTTTAATATGATGGATTAAATGGTTTCTTAGTGAGCCATAGCTTTGGTTGTTCCAAATTCTTCTTCCCGATATATGCTGAATATCACTTTATCAGGATCACAATGAGCACATTCTTCTGTTCACCGTGGTTTTAAGTTAGCATGTATATACGTAACTGCTGCATATTCGGTTTGCGTTATTATAAACATTAGGAAAATCTTCTAATTGTCTCAGATGACTTGAAGAAAAAAGTCGAAGATAAGTTTAATGAGCTCGGGGATATGTGTGAAAGAGGTGAGCTCGAGCCTGAAGAAGCTTATGAACGTTTCAAGGAATTCGAAGATGAAATGGTCTTGCAATACGGGGAGCAAATGGAAGCGGAGGGACCTCCTGAGTTTGACAATGAGGCTGTGCCCGACAATAAAAAGGACCAAGATGACGACCCTCCTGGCGAGGGTCCCATCCTTACGTGGAAATCACGCATCGTCTTTGGCCCGGGTGGCGATGCATGGCATCCAAAGAACCGGAAGGTGAAAATGTCTGTGACTGTAAAGGAGATTGGGCTCTCAAAGCATCAGTCCAGAAGGCTGAGGGAGCTTGTCGGGAAACGGTACAATCCCGGGAAAGACGAGCTTACAATCACCAGTGAGAGGTATATAATTGGCTGAGGAACCACGTTAAACAAAAAGAAACATGAAATAATAATCTTGGTCTGAATATAAGTAAATTGTGCAGGTTTGAACACAGAGAGGAGAATAGAAAAGACTGCCTAAGAACGCTCTATGGGCTGATTGAGGAAGCTGGAAAAGCGAACAAGATAGCAGAGGACTTGAGAACTTCGTACGTGAAGCAAAGACTGAAAGCCAATCCAGCGTTTATGCAGAAATTACAAGCCAAGATCACGAGGTCCAAAGGATCAGACGCCGTCAGCGGATAAGAAACTTTCGGGTTCGTACCCGCCTTCTGTTTCCCTTTTGGATTGAAAGAAGAACAACAGATGTTTTCCCTCTGATATTCTGCTTGTCTAGCAGGCAATAACATATGAATGCTGGTGATTGTTTGCTTCTCACAGGGTTTAGGAGTTTAGGTTACCGGGTGGTTTGTCTTTTGTCGGGAATAACATGTTCGTTAAGTATTGGTCAGATCCATGCATTGTGGAATTGCCGAATTGGCGGTAAGTTGTCAGAGTCTTAGAGCAAAGAAAGATTCAGTAGGGAACGTTGAGTGCTGTTGAAGGGCTTTTATACAATTAATATTATTGCAAGCATAGTTTAAGACTGAATCCACCACTTCATCAATATGTGTGTATATATATATAAAATATAACATGTGAGAGAGAGTTGTGAAGAAGACTGAATCCACCACTAAAACTAAGGCTGCTTATGGTTATGGATTCCTGCTTCCTTTTCCCACCCCCATGAATATAAACTGAACATGTAATATAATATATGTATATATATATATATATATATATATATAGAGAGAGAGAGAGAGAGAGAGAGAGAGAGAGAGAGAGAGAGAGAGGGAGGGAGGGAGGGAGAGACCGAAATTTGCTTTCTGGGTGGAAAGGCAGCTATAAACGCATATATTCCAAACACAAGGTTGAATTAGATTTTATATTTTATATATACATATATAAATTCGTTTTTTTTTCCTACAAACAATTTGTTGTGATAGCAACTAGCAACCCAACAAATTTCTTTGTGATTCAGCCCACAAATAGTATTTGGACAAATCGGATCGCAACGATTAATTACTATAAATCAATATTTAGAAATATAAATAAAAAAGGGAAAATCCCAAAAAAAAACACTGGGTTTTTCAATTTTGACAAAAAAAACACTGAATTTTATTTTTTATCAAATAAACATTAAATTTTTTAAACGAATCTAACAAAACACTGAACTTTTTAAGTGATCCAAAAAATATATAAACTTTTCTCCGATTACCAAAAAAATATTAAACTTTTTTAGTGATCCAAAAAAATACATGAATTTTTTTCGATTGTAAAAATACTAAGAAAAATAATCTGACGTGTTTGCATCTGATTGTGTCACGTCAGTCATTTTGTTTATTTTGACAATCGTTGAAGAGTTAAGTATTTATTTTGTCAAATTTAAAAAAGTTTAATGTTTATTTGATAAAAAAATTGATAAAAAATAAAGTTCAATGTTTTTTTTATCGAAAAGGTCAGTGTTTCTTTTTTTCAGTGTTTTTTTTTTCAAATAAAAAAAGAAACACCTACTTTTCATCCACAAGAATGATACATTAAAAAACTAATATATATATATATATACATATATATATATATATACTGTATATAATGAGCCACTTATGTCTTTACACTTTATAAAAGCAAAAAGGAAAAAAAAAAAGGAAGGTTACAGATCTTCTATAAGAAATATGTATCATCGTCACCATCTCCACACCAAATAATCTGCAAAATTTTCTTCAAAACCACCATGGACGACAACATACTTGTCCCCATAGAAGAAGAATCTCCTCACAGATCGCAGCATGTCCCCGTTTCATCGCTAAGTTCCAAAAACGCCGCCGCCAGAATTGCGTTCGGCGTTTGCTGCTTCTGCGTTTCGTGCCCTCTCTGCGTTCTGTGGTGCTGCGTCAAGCAGCCTTGCACCCTCGCTCTCAGAGCTGCCCGAAACGCCAGACGTCGCTTCAGTTTCTGCGTTTGCGGCAAGAGGGTCTCCGCTGCTGATTACTCTTCCTTCTCCGATATCGATTCCGATGAAGTCCACTGTCATCATCTTCATCATTGTTCTAAGCGAATTCAATGATTTGTTGTATCGGCTTTGTTATTTGTAAACACTATACCCAGAAAATAGATCGGCTCCGTTGGTAATGGGCCTAATTGGGCTTTATAAGCCCAACAAGAGAATCCCGTAATACTGTAATTTACTAGCCAACGATTTGATTGGGCCAAAAGGCATTTTTAGGCCCATTAATGAGATAATTACTACGAGTGAGAATATTATCGTTTTAATTTGTAAAAAAAAAATTGAAAAATCGGACTTTTTGCGGTGATTTTTGTGTGTGGACAAATATCGCACAATCTCGATAGATAATTGCAAGAAATAGGAATATCTATAACGTAATACACGTGGCGCTGTTTCATTGGTTACTCGCATGAACACCAGCAAAGCTTGGAACTCAGATTATGCAAGAATCTATTTGTGTGTGTGTGTCAGTGTGTCTTCCGATGGAATTGGAGCACGTGCGAATTAAGGAACTCAGGCTCCACAGCCGCCGCCGCAACCGCCTCCGCCGCATCCGGCTCCGCAACCGCCGCCACCGTACGTGTTGGTGTCGCCGTGATTGGCTTTGTCTTTGGGGAGTCCTTCGGCGCAAGAGAATATCAGAGCCGAGATTATGCAAACTCCGACCAGAGCTAAGAACAAGACATGGTAGACATAATTCGACGAATCTAACGGTGATCCTGCTGCGATGTTCATCAGATCCTCTCTCTCTCTCTCTCTCTCTCTCTCTCTCTCTCTCTCGGATAATATGGACGAGACTAATCGTGTGAATATAAATGATATATATATATATATATATATATATATATATATAGGTGATGAAAGGTCAAACGTTGACCCAATGATCTAGTTTTTAATATACTCTCCTTATTATCAATTATAAAAATCATATTACAACATCATATTGATTTATTTTATGATATTTGAGCATTATTATATATTTTGTTTGAATAATTATAATTTGGAATTTCTCATTTTTCTCTATATATTAACTCTACCAAAAGGTAGTCAAGGGATGATGATGATTTGACAATCAAGGGTGTTACCTTTTAATGTATATGTACCTTTTCTTTTGTACAAATTTGACAATGCGATTAAAAATAGAAATATTTTCATACAAGGCGAATTTCTTGTCCATTTTATTTGGTATCTTCTGGCATATATATATATATATATATATGTTAGAGGATATTAAGGAATAATCCAAGATATTATGCGATCTTTGATTATATTGTATTTTACGTATATGTAACCCTAATATTATTACTATATATTGTAAGCAAAGTACCGAGGAAAGATGAGGGAAATTTACTAAGTTTCATGGTATCAGAACGATACCCTAATTCTCTCTCTTGAAACCACCGCCGACCTTGCTCTCTTTTTTTCTTCTTCTTCTTCCATCTTTGTCTTCTTCCTCCCTCAACTTCTATCTCTTCCTCATGGTAACCATGGAAACCGACAATGCTCTTTCCGAAAAACCCTTTGGCGTGAGTAATATCAAAACTCACATCCCGATCACGCTTGACATGGAAGAATTCAACTATGACGCATGGCGGGAACTGTTTGAAACACACTGCCTCAGTTTTGACGTCATGGGACATCTCAACGGAACCGTGCGTGCAGTAGGCGAAACAGACACGCATTGGGCAAGGATCGACGACCTTGTCAAATTGTGGATCTATGGGACTATATCCAAATCCCTACTCACTGCCGTGCTAAAGAAGAAAAGCACCGCACACGACGTGTGGACACGGCTAGAAAACCAATTCCGTGATAACAAAGAAGCCAGGGCAATACAACTCGAGCATGAGTTGCACAACCTCAACATTGGGGATCTCTCGGTACATGACTACTGCCAACGTCTCAAGAAACTCTCTGATCTCTTAGCCAATATCGACGCCGAGGTATCAGACATATCCCTTGTGATGCATATGCTAAATGGGCTAAGCGAGAAATACGACAACATTGTCAATGTGATCAAGCACAAAACCCCATTCCCATCGTTCGAAGATGCGCGCTCCATGCTTACCCTAGAGGAACAACGGCTATCCAAGACCTCCCGGCATCAGCCATGAAATGTTGATCACTCCTCCTCTCCGAATGTGTTGTACACGGCTGCTGCTCCGCCGAACAACTCTCACGGTCAAGCTCAGGTCTCCATCTCCATGGGGATTCAACCATCGTGGTGGCCGCACTGGTGGTCGTAGAGGCCGCGTCTCTAGAGGTCGACGATACTACAACAATAGCCACAATTGGAATCCTCCGCAATGGCCGACTTATGCACCGAACCCATGGCAGTACCCGGGCTATTCTCCCAGTATACTTGGACCACCACCGGCTGCACCATCACCGCCACGGCATTCCCCGCCACAATGGCATTCGACAGCCTCTCCATCCATGCCGTCTGAACAAGCAACGTCACTGGCTCATGCATTAAACACAATGACACTTCAAAATCCGGCGGATCATGCATGGTATATGGACTCGGGAGCAACTGCACATCTCACGTGTTGGGTTTCCTGGGATCTCATGAGCGAATCTAATTCCTAAGAGATCGATTCTAGGGTTTGCGTAGCGGATATAAAACAAAAATTTTAATGAAACCCTAGAACCATGCTACTATTGAATCATAGAAACGTTAGAACACTTACCTCAATCGATCCGGGGCCTGTATCAATTGATCTGTTCGTCCGATCACTCTAGGCAGGAAGAATACCTCGCCCTCTACACGTATCCACACGTCGGGATGGATTCCAACACCTTGGAACTTGTCTGCTAGGACTAGAGATCTCGATCTCTCTTGTGTGCAAGGTTTTTGGAGGCTTAGGGTTTTATTTTTCTTCTTTTTTCTTCTTTTTTTTCTTTTTTTTTTCTTCACCTAAAACCCTAGAAGACATTCTCCTTATATAGACTTTCCAAAAATCCTAATTTGACAAGGAATAGATTACTAGGAATCCTAATCTAATTAGGTTTCCTAAACCTATTAGAATTCTAATCTCATTAGGTTTCCTAGATGTAATAGAATTCTAATCTCATTAGGATTCCTATACATAATAGGATTCCTAATCCCATTAGGATTCCTATTCCAATTAGGAATCTCAATCCAATTAGGATTCCTAATCGGGATAATATAGCACACGTACTTGTCCATCCCTATTGTGTATGACCCTGTAGGCTCATCCGGAATAGCAGTAAAACGCAGAATCTCCATTCCGCTAATACAAGTCATAGGCGGTCTCTAGCAAGACACTATGACTACCTATCTCGAATAGAGTTTGTTTGTGATCATACGAAAGCCAGTGATGATTCCGACTGATGATCCTTTTGTATCGCGATATCATATGTCGAACATAAGGCATGGACAAGCCACCTTATCTGATTCGACTGCTTTCTC